ATAGACTTAGTAGAACACACCTAGTCCGAAGTCCTCTGTCATAGTAGTTATGATAATTCCCAGCTCCAAAGCATTTATATAATCAATTATTCCACATGGGTAAGTTTGGATTTTGGAAACTCAACCAGACAAGTTGAAGTAAGCCTCCTTTTGTTAGTTGGATTCCCTTTTCCTCTTTCTTCTTCTCACCCCATTTCTCCTGACAAAAAAAAATAAACAGACCCTAGGTTTGGATAATAACCGTATGCAGTTTTTACCAGTGTTATCGACTTACTCCCATATAAGAAAATGTGACTAGTTTAATTCAACAGCTTGTAAATTGCAAAATACGCGTCTCGTAAACCTTATAAATTGATCATCCCATAGTTTATGTAACAATTAAAGAGTAACCGGTTCAATTTTTTATTTTACTGAAGACATGCTAGACTACCTTATTTTTCGGCGTATAAGACGACTTTTCACACCATAAATTTATGCTCCTAAGTGGAGATCCTCTTATACGCCGAGTGTAGTTTAGGGATCGCTAATTATACTATGGTTTCGAGCTCCTGTTGTGCCCCTTACCTCCTTACAAAAACTATATTTAAACTGGAAAAGTCAGGGGGTCGTCTTATACGCGGAAAATACGGTAATTGGGATGTTGGGTGCTCAGTATTGTGGCTCTTGGAGCTTGCATTTCCACTTTCTTTCAAGAACGACTGTGTATTTACTTAAAATATCTAAAGGTTGTGGTTCTTTAGTTCACATTTTTAATTTTCACTTTTACAAATAAACTAATCTTACTTATCATCCATTGTCATTTGCTCTGTTAGATAACACTAGCCTGCTCTCGCGATTCTGCGGTTTCGTCTGCTTCGGCATCCCTCTAACTGGGCTGAAAGGCCCTCTTCGCGGCTCCCCTTCTGATCCACTTGTAGCCTGGTGGCGCAGTACCTCTTCCTCCCGTGTCTGGTCTGGTGCCGGCCTCCTCGTGGTGGGGGAGCGCTCGCGCCTAGGTGGCTACCAAGCTGCATCCCTGTTTCGACGACATCTTCAACCACCAAGGGTCCAGTCTTCTGCCTCGCCTGGAGGGTTAGGGACTAACGCCGCTTTGGTTGGAAGAGAAGCCAAGGCCTCCGGGCTAGACTCCGAGGCAGGCGCAATGAATGGTGCTGCCTCAGGAGCTATTTCTTCTCTGCCCCCGACGCCATCCCTGATAGGCCAAAGGTCAACTCCAAGTTTGGTCGGCCAATCAATCATTGATGAAGTGGTCTCGTCGCGTATTCAGCGCCAACTTAAAAGTGGTGAAAACAGAGTGACAGAAAGTGACGATGCTGAGTTTGCGGATAATGAGGATAACGATAACGAGGAAAAAGTGGGTACAGAGATAGGTTTGACGAGGCCAAGAGACATCTTCTCGCTTAGTCGACGCATACCAGACAGAAGGTCTAATATGTGTTCATCGTCAGTGTCTGACAAGCCTAGACAGCAGACGCCCGTTTCGGAAATGTCTTCTTCAATTACCGGCCCTACTCGTACGGTGTCTGGTCGCTTGGACATTCTTGTCGTGGGTGGAGCAGACCATCTTCTGCGCATGCATTCTTCATCCTGTCAACGCTGGTCTATGACACAGGCACTAGTCGACAAAGATATGATAGTAAGTAGCTTCCTTGAGAAGTGTGTCCTTTTTGACGACTTTAGTGAGGCGTCATCACACCTACTTATTTACCTTGCCCCACTTTACCTTTCGATTTGCCGGAATTACTGATCCGATTTGGACCTATCTGAATCTCCCTAATGTCCCCGAAAATTCGTTTCTAATCTTACTAGTTAAATGATTTCACTCGGTTTTACTCATAATACACGTTTTACTCCAGGTGCTATTTCTCGGTCTGCCACGAGCGTTTGGTATCATGTATACTGTGGCCTCACCAAGCAGAGCGTCTAGACTGATTAATTCTGTCTACCCTGAGTAAACTGTGAAAGTTTATGGAAGTATTTTTCTTATATAAGCAAAGTTTTGAGACTACTAGTAAATCAGTTATATGCTATGTATTCAACATATTTTGCTTAAGGTGATGAATTGTATGATGATGATGGGATTAACTATTACAACTGAGCATCAGCAAGTGGATACTGATAGATATGGCTACAAACATGTAACCTATTTTGGCTGCAGCCTCCTTTCAATGCATACAAGTGGTCCGACCTCTTTTTTGCCACTTCGTCGTGTTGTCAGTGTGACCTAGATGTATCCATTTTGTACGATCTACCTGGATTGCGAACGGCTACTAGTGTGTCCTATTATTTGATCGCTGTATATAACTGTTTTGTCTCCGTTTTTGTAACCTAGACTTGGCGGAGTGACTTTAATGAACGCACTTTTGTCCGGGGTCCTTCATAATAATCATGCTAGCTTCCAGCTTCAGACTGTGAACTTTATAGATTCCCATTGCTTAGTCGACATCATCAGCTGTGACCACATTCATAACCTTTCTGTGCATCGACCTTACTTATATGCAAGCACCTAAGGCATGAAGTAGTCAATTAGTTATATGATGAAGGGCTTCAGCTCGCCACCTCTTTTGGTTCAGTATTTTAGTGAACTCTGTAAAATATGTAAGTAATTTGACCTTGGTATCGCAACTTGATAATATTGGTAGGAAGACTTAGAGAAACGCACCTAGTCTGAAGTGCATTTTATGCATGATAATTTCTAGAGTAGGATTGTGGACGTGGTACATTCCCAGACGTTTCGGTGGCATCGTCAGTGAGTCATACCACTCTTAGCATCATACTACAACTTGTCAAAGAGACAAGTGAAGCCGATCATTTGACCAATTGTCTGCTAAGCAATCGGGGTATCTCTCCTTC